ATGTTTCTTCCCATTATTCGCCGACCATCCGGATTGTCAATACGTTATACGTTTTGGTATGTTTCTTCCCATTATTCGCCGACCATCCGATTGTCAATACGTTATACGTTTTGGTATGTTTCTTCCCATTATTCTCCTACCATCCGGATTGTCAATACGTTATACGTTTTGGTATGTTTCTTCCCATTATTCTCCGACCATCCGGATTGTCAATACGTTATACGTTTTGGTATGTTTCTTCCCATTATTCGCCGACCATCCGGATTGTCAATACGTTATACGTTTTTGGTATGTTTCTACCCATTATTCGCCGACCATCCGGATTGTCAATACGTTATACGTTTTGGTATGTTTCTTCCCATTATTCACCGACCATCCGGATTGTCAATACGTTATACAAGTCTGTTTCTGTTTTACATGGCCTTGGCTGAATAATTTCCTCAGACTTCAATCAAGTATGTATACGTACAATTCAATAAGAGTGATAAGAAATTTGTTTAGAAAGAACCTCTACCACACGCAACTGATACTTTGGGGAAACCCCCGGGGGGGAAACACTAATGGACTTGTAAAGTATTTTAACAGCTTTACTCGTGAAAATATTCACCAATCATATTCTTTATGCAGAAAAGCTTCTAACAACGACATGCGTTTACAGAGTAAAGTCTGATTTATTGGTAAATATTCAAAGTCTGACATACAAACAATTAAACGTTGAACTTAATAAAGAGAAGCACACTAGTACTGCCGATGCAGTTCCTGGGAGTTAGTAAGTTGGTCTTTGGTCAAATTTCTCTGTAAGAAAAATGTCGGAAATTTCGCATTTTTAAAAAGCCTATGTCATATGACGATTAACTATGCTCTTTAATGCTGAGTGGGTGCTATCAGCAGTGTTCGGCCTTTGCGATGAACAAACAGTATTACTTATTCTTTATACTTATTCTTAAGCTTTATTATATCGCATGTTATTCATGGTTGTGGTGTAAACTTCATTTAATCAGTACATCAATTTTCATTGAAAATGTCAAGTTTTCTATAATGAAGGCATTGCTCTTTTCCTTTGGGTGTTTTCCTGTGTGTAGAGAAATGAAACCAAAGTGTTGTCGGCAACAAAAGGTAGAAATTTGGGATCAACCGTTTCAAGTCCTTCAATTCATTCAAATACTATCATTATCTTTGAAAAAAGAAAGATCGAATTTCTCTCGCGTTCTCTCACGTTCTGAAATTTCCAAAGTCATACAAATATATGTTATAAAAAAAAACCAATGTAGGAGAAAATAAAATCTATATATGTGTGTGCGTCATCTCATTGGCGCATACTTTATACCTTCTTTTATTTAAAGTGTGTACTACCCTCTAGGAACGTAGTGGTTCTTTTGTTTACTTGATTCACAATACCTGTCTTTATGTCTTAAATGTATCCTGTATTTACCTGACTAATCTCACCAAGTCTTTGTTTAACATTGTCAACCTATAAAGTTTATTGACGACTTCAAACCATAGGTATAGATTGGAAAACTGTAGAAGCCATCGTAGTGAAAAGACAATAGTTTTTGATAAACCTCAAGATAACCAAATACAACTAGGTAGAACTATTCTAGCGGACAAAAGCGTATGTCTGCCTTTCATCTTTAGAGTAAGGTATTCCAGTAAGGCACAAAAACCCAATCTATCGATTGATAGGAATTATCATGGCAAATGAGAATATATTTATAGATATGATTAATGGGTGGTAATCTTAACTGTTTAAAAAAAATAACAACTTATGATACGAATGAACGAGGTATGACTAGCATAAAATTATTCTGAAGAGATGATATGTAGTCATACAAGCTTATAAAGCTCACTTTATAAACTATGTTTAGTCAAAATGAATGCTTAAGGAGAAAAACATAGTTCGACGAATCATTTCCAGAACAAATAAGATCAGGTGTGTGATTAACATTAGTTATAGAACATCGCAAGCCAAAATTAGACCACGTGACATCAGAAAGCAGTATGATTAGAACATGGTTATACGAAGTAATACCACGTGACATCAGAGAGCAGTGTGAAAAGAACATCGTAATACGAAGTAGTACCACGTGATATCAGAAAGCAGCGTGAATAGAACATCGTAATACGAAGTAGTGCCACGTGATATCAGAAAGCAATGTGAAACAAACATCGTAATACGAAGTAATACAACGTGACATCAGAAAGCAGTGTGAAAAGAACATCGTAACACGAAGTAGTGTCACGTGACATCAGAAAGCAGTGTGAATAGAACATCGTAATACGAGAAAGTATCACGTGAAAACAGAAAGCAGTGTGAATAGAACATCGTAATACGAAGTAGTGCCACGTAACTTCAGAAAGCAGTGTGAATATAACATCGTAATACGAAGTAGTACCACGTGACATCAGAAAGCAGTGTGATTAGAACATCGTAATACGAAGTAGTATACCGTAACATCAGAAATCAGTGTGAATAGAACATCGTACTACGAAGTACTGTCATTTGACATCAGAAAGCAGTGTGAATAGAACATTTTAATATGAGATAGTACCACGTGACAACAGAAAGCAGTGTGAATAGAACATCGTAATACGAAGTAGTGCCACGTGACATCAGAATGCAGTGTGAATAGAACATCGTAATATCACGTGATATCAGAAAGCAGTGTGAATAGAACATCGTAATAAGAAGTAATACCACGTGACATCAGAAAGCAGTGTGAATAGAACGTCGTAATAAGAAGTAGTATCACGTAACTTCAGAAAGCAGTGTGAATAGAACGTCGTAATACGAAGTAGTACCATGTGACATCAGAAAGCAGTGTGAATACAACAACGTAATACGAAAAAGTACCACGTGACATCAGAAAGCAGTGTGAATAGAACATCGTAATACGAAGTAGTGTCACGTGCCATCAGAAAGCAGTGTGAATAGAACATCGTAATACGAGATAGTATCACGTGAAAACAGAAAGCAGTGTGAATAGAACATCTTAATACGAAGTAGTGCCACGTGTTATCAGAAAGCAGCGTGAATAGAACATCGTAATACGAAGTAGTACCACGTGACATCAGAAAGCAGTGTGAATAACGGATGTTGTGACAAAAAAATATAGTTTGTCTTTGAAACCGGAATAAAGAATCCAGATTTGATATCTTATTGTTTCATATCATTTGATCTCTGAAGAAATCACTAATGTTTAAAGGTCAATGCTACCACATAAGAGACATACCCAAAACATGAAAAAGCGTCAGAAATATTTAAATCTCTGAGAATAATACAAGTTCGTGTGCCATAAACTTCATACGTGGTTGTCTCGAGTTAAATCTTAATGCTTTGGCCTTTCAATAATTTTGTGTAATGGTAAATCTTTGGCTTTTATCTATGTTTAATGTATTCTCTAATGCCCAGATGCAGTGCGATTAAGTGCTTGACATATTGTTTATACTAGTATACATTTGTCTATAATATCATTTGGTGAAGACTGAACATGAAAAATAAAGGTGTGATGTAAAATTTGATTAGACAGCAACGTAACGAATCAAAAACCACAATGACATCTAGATGTCAACACACTGTTCGACAAATGTTTATAAAACATATCAAACACTTTAGTAAAATCAAGTGGGGACATGTTATTTTCTAACTTTAGAAACAAAATGATCATTAGAGTTATGTCCCCTGAATATAAACTGCTGTTGATCAAGTTATCAACCAAGTTGTGTTTTATCGGATCTTCAGTGAAAGCCTTTACAATAAAGAAGACAATCTGCGATAAGAGGGCACAATTGTTATGATGACATCTATGGCTTTGAGTAGAACACACCCTATTATCGGCTATCACTATGGCAGAGCCAATAGGATCTGTGTTCTCGATTGCCATTCATGACAATTGTTTCTGCTATTGTGTAAAGCAGATTTGTGTCTGTCGAAAGAATTTTGAAATCGAGTGCAGCAGATTTTGATATCATTTCCATTCTCAATTTTATATGTACCTGTTGTATCTACGTTCAACTTACCGATTGCCGGTAATTGGATAGGAATAAATATAATAAATACAGCATACGTTTACTTTTAAAATATGAAACTACATTTTAAAGGGGTCACTAGTGCTACAATGTCTATAAACACCTCTGTACTTCATTCAGACAAAAATAATAACCTATTCTGGAAATGTCAAAAGTCTGTTGCAATACAAGCATACGACATTTGCTGATTGTTTAATACTCAAAGAGACAATACGTTAATCTTGAAATTATTCCATTTTAAGCATTTCAATTTCTCTATGTAATGAAAAGTAGTATAAATTGGAAGAGATCTTTGTATTTCTTTGGTTGATTAAATTTGACTTGAGGAAGGTAATTAGCAAAATATGTTTGTCGGTTTAAATCTTTTTACCGTACTTGCGTGCTTCCCTAAAGGTCTCTTCAAGTTATTCGTAGACTGAGATAAAATTATATCTTAACAATTAGGTCAACTATTGACTATCGTTAACTTCATCCTTGGTATTTGTCATTTTTTAATTATGATAAATTGGAAAAATTACTGAGCATTATTTTGTGTACAAGCAGAAATTTACTTCGATTTTCTTGTATAATGAAAAACGAAAAGCAAATTAGCTATGTTTGAAGACCATTGGTTGTGTTTATGTTTTCATGAGGTGTTTTTGCAATTAAAGAAACCTTAAAATACTGCGTCGATTAATTGACAGTAAACATTAAGCTGTGAACTCATCTTCATGCAAAAAGATGCAATTTAATTAATATGAAAAAAAAACATCAAAGACGAGAAGAAAAGGTTAATGGATCAATATATAAGTTATGTAATAATTTTTTTTTTAACGCAAAGGTTTTTTTTAATAATATAGTCATCATCAAATAGTTAGCGTAAATCTATAGAATGCACTTGGAAATGACCTTTTTAAGCGCCATATAACTTTTATAAAGACTTTTTTCCATTAGTTAGAAAAAGTATTAAAAAATAATAAAATTACTTTGATTACCTTCTATATCAATTTTGCGTTTCCGCGCTAAGTCTATTTTATTGGCAACAAGTATAATCGCTTTATCTGTGGCTAACTCTTCTCGTAACTGATGAAGTGTTTCCACAGCTACGTCGAAAGAATTCCTGTCATTGGAGGAAAATACTACTATATATGCATCTACTTTGGTCTCGTCAAGATCAACCTGAAGATACAAGAAAAAAGTCATGAACTCATTATATGGCCAAGTATAGGAATACTATATTGGTACGATAATCAGTAAAGATAAGATTGCTGAAGAACTAGACACTTGGAAAATAGTAGAGAAACGAGGAGACTTATGTACATGACCCTAGGGTGTGTCATGTTTAACTTGACCTTGAAGGAACATTTTCAACCTTATTCACAACAGGTTTCATGTTATTGAACGTTACAAAACTTGGACTGGAAATGATACCAATAATCCGAAATGTTAGCTTCCAAAAACCCACGATGACGTCTGATAGTTAAACTAGAGGCTCTAAAGAGCATGCGTCGCTCACCTTGCAGTTTTGTTATTTTCAAAGTTTCTATCGGTCTATGTTCATCTTCAACAATTGATACTCTATAACAATGTATACTAGAATAAAGTTCATGACAAAAATCTCTTATTTGAAGATCTTGTATTGCTGATCATTTTTTTCCCCTTACAGTTTCTCTCCATCTTCTATAGTTTGTGTCCAAAACACAATAAGGAATAAAGTCGTCATGTAAGGGCATATACTCCTATAAGAAGACAACGGACAATTTAATCTATGATGACCTATTTGCAGATTGTATTGCTGATTTTTAAAGTTTCTATCTATCTAATAAACTTTACAAGATAATAGGCAAACAAGCAAAAATATGGTAAAGTTCGTTTCAAAGTTTCTATCTATCTGTTATAGTTTTCAAGATATTAGGCAAAAACTAACTACAATAAAGAGTCGTCCGACATTTTTTATAAAAATGGACAGTATGTATATCTCAACACACCCTCAACATTTCGGTCCGGTTAGATTTTTCTATCTATAGCGATTTTCCAGATACAATGTAATCGACAAAACTTGCATTTTACCCATAACTTCTATTTGTAGCGATGTTGATTGGCAAGCACATTTATTAATACCCAATGATGATTGTGGTTAATCTGGTTAAAATTGGCCCAGTAGTTTTAGAGGAAAAGTTTTTTGTAAAAGTTAACTGATGTCGACAACAGACGACGGACGCCAAATGATGAGAAAAGCTAAAAACACAAAACAAATAATGTAAAAGGGTGAATTAGTTAGACAGTCCTGATTTAAAAGTTTAACACGGATAGATCTATCGTAGACTTGAATCCACGAAGAATGTATAGTATACGACGAGCAAAACATATACAAACTGGTTACATTTGGTGTACCTTTTCATTTCTACAAACGTCTCTAAGCCGATTTGAGTAGCATTTGTAAGCAGCATAAAAAACTTTATAAAGAAAGTATAAATACATTTTGTGTTTACTCAACTTCAAATATTCATATAACAGACATCTGTTATAAGCACAAAAAATAGGTATAATACTCGCGTAGTATACGTTCATACTGGATCTGACCATGGACTTCCATGATCTGACTGAAAATCAACGAGGGATTCAAGAAAAAATCAAAATGTAATTTGACGCAAAGATAAAAATGTATTGCTGTAGCAATATTATGAAACAAAGAAATCCTAGTGTCAATGCAGTGGCTCTTTGAGAAATATTTCTTAAATAAATATCAAAATGTAAAAAGATGCTTTATGAAAATACGTATCAAAAAAGGAAATGATTCCAAGTAACTTTATTAAAAATAAGGAATGCTAAATGCATACTGACCCCTCTTACAACAAACATAGTGTTGTTTCTGTTTTAAGAACTTAACATACCACTGTTGTCGTTTACTAACGTATAAATAAAGTATGGTGGCAGATGTTTACTAAAGTGACATTCTTAACACGCACTTCAACAAACGTCAATTTTGTCCCGACAGCAAAGCAAACAATATCATTGGTATTTCTGTTATAGCGACCGTGATATTCATTGAGAAATAATTTCAAGCTGTCGTTTCATACGTGGATTGGTGCTTGTTGTTAGTTACAGGATACACAACATCAAGGTCTTATCTGGTGGAACCTTACATCGGCATTGAAAGCATATACAGAAGGCCATAAAAGAAAAATAAATATTCGTTTTTCTGCGATAACGTAAAAATGTCGATAAATATTTTCTGTCAACAAGACTAGAATCTGTAAACATCCTATTTTCCACTAAATTGCCCATTTTGAGGTCGTGCAAAGTTGAGATTTGATTGTACCACAAAACAGATGACAATTTCTCATGTAATACAATAATGATGATTTAGGGATAAAATGATTTAAGATCAATTTCCATAGGCATTGATCTGCAGGAGTTAAGTGACAAAAAGGGTTATCAGCTTTGGTGGAAACTAACTCTATATTTTTCTTGAAAAATCAAATAATAATATCCTTTACATCTTATAAAATTCTGTTTTTAGGTAAAATCAAAAGAATATCTTCAGTAGGTATTGAAACAATATAGTTAATTTTATAAACTACTTTTTGTTATACATGAAAAACAAATCCCAAATTTGTTCTTTTTCAGTCTTCAATTCGTTGTTAAGTTCGCTTTGTGAGTAACTGCTACTTGACGTGACGCACAAATCAATTACTAATTTAGTTGTTCATTGACTGTTACTTTTAAATCTGTGTTAATTTTTGCTTCCATAAAAACAGTAGTATATTCTTCAGAAAACAATTGATTTGTTTCGATTACCTGTATACCTTTCTATCAGTCTGATCACTCCCCCTTAAACTCATGTTTCAACTCTTACCCAACAATAAAATAAAAAATATTTAAATAAAGAGAAGTGACATATTATCCACCAAAGACTCTATTGCTGGGATATATGAACAGCTTTAGACCAACTTTATATAAAATGAAAAATATGTAAAAATAAGTAGATTATTGCCAATAAGACAACTATCCAACAGTGTTAAAATGACGAAGCTTTATGCAGTTCTAGGTCACCGCACGGTCTTCAACAATGAGAAAACACCTACCGTATAGTCAGTTATAAAAGGCACCGATATGAAAAATGTGAAACAATTCAAACGAGAAAACTAAGTGCCTCATTTATAACGATGCAATTTCCGAAAAACAAACATGACAGACATAAACCCAACGACAACTACTGAATTGCAGGCTCCTGACTTGGAACAGGCACATTAAGAATGTGGGGGATTTAACATGTTTGTGAGCGCTCAACCCTTTCCTTGACTGATACACGGTCGTTATTTGTTTCCTAGGGAATGCTATTTATTTTCGGAGGGAACCAACCTAATCCTTCCCTAATCTGGGTCAGTGGTGTAACAGCATAACATAAGAACAATCTGTAAAAGTCAGTTGTAGATGCCTTTACTCAATAGATCGGAACGAAGCACAAAGAAGTAACATAAAAACAATCCATACAACGCACCGATATAAGAGTACTCGCAGTTACGAACAGCTGATCCATTTTGCAAAACCTACCTATTGAATTTCATATTAATTTGTTGTCATGTATATACATGAAATATTTACCACTGAACGTTAAGCAAACAGCAATCAATCAATCGAACGCTGAGAATTAAAAAAAAATGTCTGCACTCAGTTCATAGTGTTATTATTTGTATGAACCTTTTTTATCCACAGGTGAGAAACCATGATAACACGATCATTAACCATCTTTTATATTTTAATATGAAGTATGTCTTACAACAGAACGGAGGTATATTATGTGTCCAATTGTTATCTGCTGTAGAAAATTTTGACTCAAGTTCAAAGTAAGCCTTATCTTCGCATAAACAATAACCATTTATATCGGTATTGATCCTCAACCTATGTAATACAAACATTCTTGAATATTTTCTGAAAGTTACTGAGTTCTTATTTTTTTTTCAATTTATATCTGTGTTCTAGTTTTATTTTATCATACATGCAGCGGTGCAAAATTCTATTTGGAAATTAAACGTTTTTAAGAAAATAACAAAATTCAAAAATCAATTTGGTATCTGATAATTTCTTCGAACTTGAAATATATGCATTTTACATAATATGTAGGCTATGGATCTGAAGGTATACTTATATCTCTTCGTTAGCTGACACAGAAGTTCGGGTACAAACAGATATCAAACGAAATTAAAAATCATAAATTGTAAAATCTTAACATTACATAATTGATAATTCAAATAATTTCATATTGACCAGTAACGCTTTTACACAAAATTCGAGTAGCCAAATTAAAGACCGTATACTGGCTATGTCTTTTCTGTCTTTATTGTGATGTGGGGTTGCTTAATTAGACATTGACGAATATCCAGTAACTCTTTTCAGTCAATTAAAATGAAACAGTTTAGGGAATGTGATTTTTGATGAGCCGTTTTATGATTATGTAACGAAACTCAGTAGTAATTGTCGCATATAGATTTATGTTAAAGATGGCGACGATGCTTTGTCATTTACTGATTAATTATGAATGGATCGTGTTAGTGACAATGGAAATTTAAAAGCAACTAAAAGCCGTACATCAAATTGTTATAACAGAAAGCCGTACATCTAATTGTTATAACAGAAAGCCGTACATCTAATTGATATAACAGAAAGCCGTACATCTAATTGTTATAACAGAAAGCCGTACATCTAATTGTTATAACAGAAAGCCGTACATCTAAATGTTATAACAGAAAGCCGTACATCTAATTGTTATAACAGAAAGCCGTAAACTGTACAGCCGGCATGACTTAATACAGATAAAACAAAAGAAATAAAAACAATCAGCAATACACGATAACAAATATACAATACACTTAACGCTCGGTTTCAAGCAGGCCGTGGGTTGCTATTTACGTGTCTTTTAGATTTTGTGTATCTTTTGGTTGCTGTATAGTTGAATTATACCCAGTCGCATTTTTGATGATAGGGTAAACCCCTTTGCTTTGTACGTTGTTTTTCTATTTTAATTTCTACTTATTTCCAGCTTTCCATGGTTCACTTTGATTAAACCATCTGAAAACACCACTTTTGCTTAGAGGTATATGCATTTCCATTGAACTTAACTCATAATTTTAACATTCCATTTACATGTTATAGCTGAAAATAACATTTGAAATAATCGTTCCAGTACAATGAAATTTGCTTTGAGCGTATGGTAAGAATTATACATGTATTACTAATCCCTTGTCGTCTGCAGTGAATCAATTTTGTACATTTTATACAGTAACGTATAAATATAAAATAATCATGAAACAAATTTTTTTTTTATAGTTGAGAAAAAAACATTCAGAAAATAAACGAACCATATCTACTGCAACCATGTGTTCCTTTTGCCAGAGCACTTAATTGCACCATCAAATTTCACAAGAAATATAGATTAATTTCTATTGTTGAAGACTGTATTTTGACCTCTAACTATATTCTAGTCGTTTAGTTGCTGTCTCATTGACGCAAACCCAACATCGTATCATCAATTGTACGTATTCCAATTCGCTTGTTTAAAAAAAATCAAATTGATACATACATACATACACAACACAGCACATACATAGCGGAAAATACATAAGTCAAACGCATTGTCAATTGCTGTCTATTTTTGTCTTAATGCTTTTACTGTCATTAAGGGAGTTAAATGTCAAGGGCACAGCTTTGATAAGTTTCTGTTAAACTTATTCGTTGTAAGACTCATGGCGATTTACAGCTTGACATTTTGTATAGTTGAAGACCGTATGTTGACCTCTAGATGTCTTTTGGTTTTTGTGTCGTTAGTTTGCTGTCTTATTGACGGATTAATCACCACTTCCTTCTTTAATTTCCATTGTTATGAACGGATAACATGTGTATGTGTGTATTTTTATGTAACTTATTAGTGCATGCGTGATAACATGTGCATGTGTGTATTTTATGTAACTTTAATATTAGTTCGTGCGTGATAACATGTGAATGTGTGTATTTTTTTGTAACTTATTAGTTCATGCGTTATATATCTAATATAAATAATTTTATCGTTTATAGAGCTGACATTTATGAAATAATTTGTTATTATACCAATAGCAATGAAATAGATTGTTATAACATTTGGACTTCTGTATCATCGATTAAATGTATTCATTTAAATAAAAGTAAGTTTATGCGTATTACATGCATTAACAATCGTTCTATGTTGAAATAATACTGCAATAAGTACAACTATAACTGGCATTAAACATCAACTGGAGACAAGTGGGCACAATGAAATATGTCACCGTGATTAACTTCTTTGTTTTAAATTCATTTCTCAAATGAATGTTCATAAGAGAAAGATTATACTTCGAGTTACAACTTCGTGTTAATAGAGTTCTAAGCTTCAGTTTTTGATAGATTGAAGAAAACCTGTCCTAATTCAGGTTACATTGTCAAACAGCTGAGTTTCATGTTATATGTCAAAATGAAGCCCAAAAACAAACTGAGACTGATGTTCAGTGGTTGTCGTTTGTTGATTGGTTTATAAGTGTTTCTCGTTTCTCGTTTTTTTATACAGATTAGACCGTTGGTTTTCCTGTTTGAATTGTTTTACACTAGTCTTTTTGGGGTCCTTTATAGCTTGCTGTTCGGTGTGAGCCAAGGCTCCGTGTTGAAGGCCGTACTTTTACCTATAATTGTTTACTTTTTACATTGTGACTTGGATGGATAGTTGTCTCATTGGCACTCATACCTCATCTTATTTATATTGACATTCCGTTTCAGCGTAAAAATAAATAATAATAATTAGTTATAGAGCTTGACTAATTGTATAGACACCTATCTATTGTTGAGGACCATATGCTGACCTTTAGAAGTATTTTGTTTTTGTCTTGCAAGGTTGCTGTCTCATTTTCGTATACCTTGCATCTCCTTTCACGAATTTGAGCTTGATATATAATATGTGTAACCATATTACAATATATTCAGAAAACTTCAAACGATGGTTTTATTAATACGAAAATTTCGAAAGTATGGATTTCACAAAAATTAAAACTCGCATGGTAAATTTTGAAAATATATTTGGTATGCAACAACTCCTGAAATCGCAATAATGAATTTTGTATATTTCCCATAAAGGCATTGTTCAACATTTGCAATCATAATTGAACGTATTTTTTTCTGAATTAACAGTATATCTCTATCAATTGTTGCTTAATACCTTGTAAGGAAGGACATATCAATTTGTTAAAGGTAATCGAGTTATTTTCAGGATTACTAAATACCTTTCTGGTTTTAATTGTTTTAATTCTTTTTTTTCGAATATTTTGTAATGTTTCTTGAAATGTTTTTTTTTTTTTTTTTGGTCAATTTTATAACTGTAACTTTTAATTCCTTTTTCTATATTCTCGAGTATTTTTAATCAACGTTTTAGCAAACAATATAGATTCCCCTAAAGAATTTGCTGTAACTAACAAGTAACCAAAATCTTCCCCTTTTTTATCAGCGGCCATAACAATATTAATATTTAAGGAATGACTGTAATATCATTTACGTCTATGAAGAAATAACATTAAAAAAGTGGTGCGCACTGAATAACCCGCATAGCGCGTTATTTAAAAGTGTGCACCACATTTTTAATGTTATTCATAATAGACAGAAAAAATATTACAGTTATTCCTTATAATTTAATTCTAAATACCATTTTTTAAGGAGTAAATCATGAAAAAACGTTATAGACGTCACAGTCAAATGACAAAATTATGTCTATGAGCTGATATACAAAAAACTTTCAGTCAATCAGAAGACGTGTTACATCTAAAATTAAATTACTAAAGCATACTTCTATACATCTTGTAGCATGAGTTTTCTAAACTTTCAACCTTAAAAAAAACATATTTCTTTCTTTCATATCTTTCTAAAACAACGCCAACAAGTAAAATAACTTTTTAAGTATCCCTCGAGATCTCATATGTTCAAATCAATAAAATTGCTTAAAGTTTATTGAAAGAGAAGTGCTTTCTAGCATGCTATGTTAAATAGAATAATTTAACGATTGAAAAATCAAATTCATGTAGTTATCATATCAGACGGAAATTATAAACCGCGGCAAATATAGAATAATCGAGCAAACCTCGTCATCTTCAGGGTCAATGAAACTCAAGGTCGATTCTTCCCCGTCTAGTTGTACTGTTATTATCTTTTCCACTTCTGTGTCAACTAGGGAATAGAAACGATATTAGATTAATTAGGAAGTTTCCTAAAATAAGGCTTTATATTGACATAGCATACCTGGCTGTCAATAAAGTTAATACTCTTAAACGGTTGATTACGCAAAAAACAACTTACATGCAATATAAAATGAAAAACAATATGGATAAATATATATATCACGGCGTAATAGGTCTATCATTACAAGCAATGTGCAAATAAAGTAGATAATGCGTATCTCATACTTCATGCTATATAAATCAGCAAATGCCAACAATGAAACATCAATTGATGCATGTGTTGAAAATGGATCAGTACACTTGTTTTTATAAAAGTTAAATGGAACTTTTGAGGCAAAGCCCTATGTCTACGTTATTTTTCTAATTAATGACCTTGGAAAATGAAATGTGATATAAACTAAATAAATAGTAGGTTCGAAAATAGTTTGTATGAACAGATGTTCATATTTTAAGACGTGCATAAAAAGTTCGAAGGCCAATTGATTTCAACATATTCCATTGCTCTCGTTCTGTCAGGCGATAAGGACAATCATGATGTATCACAATGATACAGGGTCGCAATGATCGTCAAGCAATTGGCACTTGAACAAACAATTAAGGACATTTTTTGATAATATACCCCATTTGAAAATACCATTGAAATCTTATTAAATGCATATTCTTAGATTTTGCATCCAATCTTAAGATATGTTATTCCTAATATATCACATTTCAAAATACCACTGAAATCTAAATATGTAATCAAAGTTGTGTTTCACCCATTGAATATTCCTAATGACGTCTTTTGTACTGGAAGTTAACTGGCAGAAGTTCTATGGTTCTCAATTTCACTCTGATTAAAATATCCTCTGCCAATCAATTATTGATTATAGAACCTTGTTCATTGAGTAAAGCTAAGTGTAACTACATGCGCTACTATGTAATGAGATAATGAACCTTCAATAGAATTTTTAAACACGGTGTAGTTTTGTACAGACTTACTTCTTCATGAAATATGATCAAAACCGGGAATACTTTTGACGGACGTTAAGCATTTACAGCAGCTTAAACGCATAAATTACATAAAATGTTGTTATATATATTTTCCTTCGAAACATTAAACTAATACAATTAATTCCCAGAAGCTGTAAAACATGATATCATATAAGATCTTCAAGAATAGATTTCAATAGTTGATTGGGGTATAGAAATATAATCACTTGTTTATTATGTTAGTCCAACCGGCAGTTAAACCCGTGTTAAAGGGCGTCGGCGTCAGTTTGGCTCTGGGGTTGATACTTACGCGGCCACGTCGAGTCAAAATGATGGTGACGTTAAATCCAATGCCTCTTGTAAGGAGATTGCCCACACTTTTTGACGTTATTTAAAAGCCTACCTTCTTCCCCAATGCCGATGGACCTTCCTTGCATAGCACATTAAATATTAATTTGTCCTCGTCCTGAATTTGAATGAAATATTTGTAAATAGACGTCTAGCAAACAACAATGAATTAACGAACATCAACAGGAATGCGGTATGGGCTTTGCTCATTGTTGAAGGCCGTACGGTGACCTATAGTTGTTTATTTTTGTGTCATTTGGTCTCTTGTGGAGAGTTGTCTCATTGGCAATCATACCACATCTTCTTATTTATATGAATAATAACAGACGTCCAGTTACATGCTGATAATTAATATATACAGTGTAAAGCTGCAAAGAGGAGATGGACAATGTACGACACAACTAGGGAAATCGTCAAGAATAAACTTAATAATAACAGACGTCCAGTTACATGCTGATAATTAATATATACAGTGTAAAGCTGCAAAGAGGAGATGGACAATGTACGACACAACTAGGGAAATCGTCAGGAATAAACTGAATAATAGCAGACGTCGAGTTACATGCTGATAATTAATATATACAGTGTAAAGCTGCAAACAGGAGATGGACAATGTACGACACAACTAGGGAATTAAACAGCAACAGTTATTGAACTACATGTTCAACAATATCTCACAAGTATTAATGGATGTTTTCACTCTAATGACAATGATATCCATTTGACTCTAGTTCAGCTCATTTAATCCATGTTAGTTCGCAATTGCTTTATTGACAACACCATTCATAATCATAACAATGCCATTTATAAGTCTATTATCTAAGGTTTCATCTCGTAGAGGTTACGAAAGAGCAATGACTTGCTACGTTTATTGAATTAGATGGTTTTATCAGTGGAGGAAAAGTAAATAATGTACTCTAAAATTTATGATGTATAATGTCATGACGCAAAATCACTACAAGTACTTCTAAAAACCAAAAGGCAAACAACATTCAGTGGCGGATTCAGGGGATTTGGGAGTTGGGGGGGGGGGGGGGGGGGGGTGCATTATGACATATAAGTAGGACCGGAAATAAGATTAGCAATTCGGAGTCGGCATAGCCTTTAGTTTCTTGTCGTTGTTATATCTATTTGCTTTTGGTCACTCAATACAGCAAGTCTTTTGGTGTATTTGAGTAACGAGTAAATTGACTTGGATGTGGCATAATAATAATTAAAGTGTTTAAAAATTAAAATCAATACATATTTGGACTTCTCCGATGCATTGAAAGATGAAATGCGCTTTCTGTCTTTGTGACAAGCATTTCAATCAAAGTCATGGTTTAAGAACACGCTACCACTGACATTTAAAAAAACTTCACATCGAATGATTACTCACGAAAGAAAATATACGCTCTACAATCTCTTGGAATTAAACTGTCAATTTCTGATTTATTTATCTAAGTTGATTATGTCAATAAAAACTTTTCTGCCATAATGGGATAAATAACTATTTATACAAGTCAATATTTGCTTGTGTAATTGCTGAATTAACTAGAACCAGTCTCTCAGAACCAGTCTCTCAATCAAAGGAATAACAAACCGTTTTATTTTTATTTTAGATCATGTTATTTACTGTAGTAAACTTTTTACAAGATCAAAAGTGGAAAGTTAAACGAAATATAATTGTTGAGATCATACAAATCAATTTATCGTATTTTTTGTATAATCATAAAAAGTGGTTGCTACATTTTTTTGAAACCCAATAAACTATATATTTATTCTCAAAGTACATATAATCATGTTATCAATCACTGTCACTTTAAAGGCACACATAGTCACAATATGTTACATTGAATGTTTTAATATAACTATATCAGCAATACTTTTATGATTATTTACATAATTTTCAATATTTATTGCCATCGCTAATAATGTTCTGAATAACTTCGTAATATATTTTCTGAGACAGGTGTCATTAATGGCGCAAAATCTTTCTATCCGTTCCACGGGGGGTTCTTTTTTTAATCTTTAGTTTTCATGTGTAAAGTTTTGTGGACTGTTTGTTTGTCTTGGTTGCCTTTTCTCTATAGCCATAGTCAACACTGTTATTAGATCTTTGAATATTGTTTAAATCGGTATAAATATTGATTTTGTTATCAATAAATTTAAACCCAAATGATTATTATTGGTATACACATATGTACATTCACGATCCTACAATCTGTCGATACCTGTATCTTGGCATTGTACAAGATCATGTTTTTCTCTTACTGTTAATAACGTCTTAACACTAAATCCATTGGATGTTGGATGTGTACTGATTGATATTTTAGTCTTAGATACATGATGTTTTCATTAGTTTTTATTGGCTTTGAACTAGCTTTCATTAACTACGATTACTCTCAGACCTCTACTTTGTGTCTTTTGTGCTTTGTATCGATCTGATGAGTCGAGCCGTTTTCAACTGATTTCTATAGTTCTTATATTGTACGGTTACACCACTGTCCTATGTTATGGTGGGGGTTTGGCGCCAACTAACATGTTTAAGCCCGCCACAATCTGTATGCGTCTGTCCCAAGTCAGGAGCCTTTAATTCAGTGGTTGTCGTTTGTTACTGTATATCATATTTTTTTGCTTTTATTGTTTTGTTCATAAATCAGGCTGTCAGTTTTTCTTTTGAATGTTATGTCGGGCCTATTATAGCTTGATGTGCGGTATCGGTTTTGCTCATTATTGAAGGTTGCACGGTGACCTATAGTTGCTAACCTTCTACGTCATTTAGTTTCTGGTGGATAGCTGTCTCATGGTTTCGGACCGTTTGGTACATTCTTCTCCTATTTTTCGTCGACTTTTTTATGGTTTCGGACCGTTTTGGTGTTTCGGACCGTTTTGGTGTTTCAGATAGTTTTGGTGTTTCGGATTTTTGGTGTTTCAGATCGTTTTGGTACATTCTTCTCCAATTTTTCGTACCTATCCTCGTATTATTCAATCTTTTCATGTTGTCAAAAACACAAAAAAACATCTATACTATGTCAATATACGGTCTTCAACAATAAGCAAGAGTATACACAATGTGTGGAAAAGTTGTGACTACATTTACAGAAGACTTTAATGTAAACCATTAAACTGTATATAGAAAATAGAAATAGCCTGGTAGACCAAAATTACAATAAAAATGCATGTTTACCATCATAACAAATTGTAGGTTTTATACCCACATATAAATTAAATATAATGTCATATTGTTTTACAATTAATATTACTGAATAATACTTTATTCATTAAATACTAAAAGTCTTTCTCAAATTTTATCAAAGGCTTTTCAAAAATAAACAATTAAAAAAAAACTTTCCTTTTCTTATATCTCCATAAATGTGTTATTCATATGCAAAACAAAAATTATCAATAATGGAATACCCAGGTGTTAATCCCCGTTGATTTTCCCATACTTCTGAACAAGTATGTTTAAAACCAGTATTGATAATTTTTTAAGCAACATTACAAGCTTACAAATCTCAAATTCTGTCACGTCTCGTCCATATTGTGACGTCAACAAGGATAAAACTTTCAGCATCATATTTCAAATGCATTTTCACCAATTCTTTTGTTACGGTTTTAAGTTTGCAATACAAAAGCATTAACTTTGTCTCAAGTATTAATTAAATCTTGTAGTGTACCAAGAAAAAG